ACATATTCTTCACACATACACACACGCACAGGCCAATCAGTGAAGTAAACACTTTGAGTGTCAATCGAAAATGAGGAAAACACGAAAAAAGTACCTCTAGAGCGGCGACTGGTTTTGAAGACGCAAGGAAGAATTCTTGAGCTCGATCAAAATCGCCCAAGAACATGGAGACGTAGCCATAGAGGAGGTGCTTCTCCTCAACTGCAGCCATTCGCTGCACAGCGAGGACCAGGCCGCAGTGATTAAGTCTTCGAAATGCTTGAATAGCTGGAATGATAAATGAATGTGAATGTTTAATTCCAACTAAACCATAACTTACAGACGTGGAGATCTTGACTCGAAGGGGCCATGAAAAGTACTGAAGGAATCCAGCATCAAGCGGCGAACCCACATAAGGCATTAAAATAGCTTCTCAACCAAAAACCCTGCAGTCACTTCGGACATTTCCTTTCTGGTTATTGATTGCAAATAAATGATGGCAAGTGTAACCAGATTTGAGTGTCCAAATTATTAGTTCGTACTCATCGAAATGCAGCCCTTCAAGTTTTTGAAGGGCAACTTCAGAAATGATCTCCCAAGGCTGGTGTATCATGAAAACATCAAAGCTAAAGATAATTTATTCTCACAACATCTGAGTTTCCCCGTGTAATTTTCCACCGGGACAAGTAGCAAAATTTATGATGTGAGTCTGAATCGTTAGCTGCACACATGTTTTTTTTCGAGGCAAATCCAATTTCTGATAACGACTAATTACACGCATTAAATTCATGCATGACAATATGGCTACTCAGTGGTTGTCAGTAGCTTGTTTTTATGGGTGGCGAACGGGCAGGCATTGACTAATAAAGTTAGGAAATAGGGGGGTTTTAGTGAAATTGACTACTACTCTCAAAAACGTATTGACCTCTATTACGTGGCCACTTTGCATAAGGAATTTCCTCTTGCTACTGCATCGAACTTACCACACTCAAAGTCTAAACTCTTCACACAGGCTATACCCAGTTGGTGCCACCTGGCACGATTGAGCAGGTAATCTGACAGAAGAAGAGCGTCTTCGAAGTCACCGGCGAGTATCGCTTGTTCGAACAATGAGACCAACTATCAAGTGGAAGGAAAAATAGCAATGTACCATTAAAGGGTTAATAATTATTTCTACGTAAATTGGCTCCCTTTTTAAAAATAACCAATCTTGGTTGCAATTTTGAAAACAACGTACAACTCAAAGAGGTATCATGGCCAGGCGGGTCCTTCTTATATTGGCTACCACCGGGCAGATCGAAAGCGCAACTAGTTCGTAAAACGTCTTTAACAAAATGCTTCCACTGCACCTGGTATGAAAGCGGTATGAGAGTGTTCAAATGACCACTTTTAGCCTCCAGTGAGAAGTCGGACCCTAAGAGATCTGTGGCCGTCGTGAAGACCAGTGGTGTTTTGTGGAAGATGCCTGGATTTCTGCTCCACGGTTTCTGCTTTTCTGACATTTCAGATACATTTTCGAACCTTTCAGCAGAAAAAGCAGAATTTGACAGTTCGACCGTCGGTTTCGATGAGGTTCTGCGCCAGCTTCACAGCAGATTGGAAAGAAAATGTAGAAACTTGCGCGTGAATTGCATCATAATGAGAGCAGACTTGCGTTGCATCTACCACACTCTCTTCCTCTCACCTACCCGGGCCTTTG